AAGATTATTGTCCCAACGGTGATGCTAAAGGGTAACAACCTAGAGGTCTTCAAGGCCTAACTCCAAGAGCTAAACAATATAAATAGAAACTAAAGGCTCCAGGTACACATTTTAAAACCTATTTTACTAATGGCGTCATTGTACACACACCCACATCTCGGCTATATGCCCGTTGTTAGTGCGTAGTGTTTGATACATTGGGAATAATGCCCATACGATATCTCTTATACAGATATCACTGAGTGCAAAGATCTTTTAATAGTCTATCGCCCACGTGGTGAACATTCACGGTTCCACTGAACCAAACATTGGCGCTGTCAGTGAGAATTGATAAATTTTGACTCCCACCTAGTAATAATACACACACACAGTGCCACAAACAACTTTCCACTGCCCCCTCATGGAAAGACAGGGTGGTCAGTAACCGATGCTCGAGGAGGTACATGTTAGTGATGTTAAATCACAGCTTGAGTCACCAAGGCATAGGGAATCCCGGTCGAAAATTCTCCTCCTCCCCACCGTGAAACACAGCCTGCAGTGGACGACCGTATTTAGCAAACCGCCCTTAATGGCATCCTGCGAAGGTTAGAAGAGACGGAAAATCGCGTCCAAGCTCAGCAACGATTGGATGCCCAGAGGATGGAGGCGGTTGAAAATAGGTTGCTCAATCAGAACACGAACAACCAACACAACCAAGCCGATAATCAGAATCAGAATGACCTTGAAGTCTAGAACTGAGAGATCAGTAATGCCCGAGGTACTAGCAACAAATATAATGGACGAACTAGGCAAGACAGAGCATATGGAAACAATGGAGGACAGGGCAACGATCGAGATGGCAATAGCGGGTCTGGACCAAATGACAACAATCACTACGACGAGGAACAACAAAATGACAACCCATTTACTGACAGACTCAGGAATATGGTCATCCCGCCGAGATTCAAGAAGTCCAATGTTCCAGTTTATAACGGCAATCACGACCCAGAGGCTCACCTGGAGACTTTCAAAACTGAGATGCTCTTCAACGGGATAACAGGACTTATCCTAGCCCGAATATTCGTTACAACCTTGATAGGGCAAGTGATGACTTGGATCACGAGGTTGCCCAAGAATTCAATTGATTCATTGGAAGACCTTGCATGCACTTCCTGTCTGAACTTTGCCACTAGTAAAGCTCACCCAATGTCGGCAAATGCGTTGAGTCGAATTCGGCAAAAAGAAGGAGAAACGCTGCGAAAATACCTAGATCGCTTTAAAGAAGCCGCCTTCAAAGTGTGAAGTTTGACCGAGGCAGTTCTCCTGTACCTGATTATTTATAGGTTAGACAAAGAGTCTCCTTTGGCTAAGTCCATATACAAGAACCCAGTTAACGACTTGGAAGAATTCAAACTAAGATCGGACAAATACTTGGATGTAGAAGAGATAGCATTAGTCTACACAAGCATTAATGTTGAAGATAGAGGCCGAAGTTCTCGTCGCAAAAGCTCGGACAAGAGAAATAGATATAGAGATCGACAGGGGTCCAAAAAGACGGCTGACTCTCGACTTAGAAGGTTGGAAGAACTCTCCATGTGAGCTAAGTTCGACAGCTATGCACCTCTCAATGTTGCCAGGTCCCGAATTTGGAGGGAGTTCGCCCATACAGAGCTGCGAAATGTCTAAAGGTTGAGGCCTATCAGGAACAAGGGCGAACATGACCGCTCTAAGTATTGTGATTTTCATGATGGTCATAACCATACCACTAATGAGTGTTGGGACCTCCAAGATGCTATTGAGAAGCATATCAGAGAGGGAAAACTTAAGCAATACCTCATTTGTACTCAAAGAAGGAAGGGTGGCAAGCGCAGGCAATGAAGCCGCAGTAGAAGCCCAAGCCCAAAGAAGGGAAACCAAAAGGATCGAGATAGAGTTAACAAAGGCAAAAGCAAGAATGTCGAAGCTAACAATGACGACTTTCAAGAGCCCGAATTCAATTGTAACGTGATAAGTGGAGCTTTGGTAGGCAATGGTGATACCACTAGTGTAAGGAAGAAATACTTAAAAGAGGTCATGTCAGTAAGAGACAAACCAGACTTCAAAGAAATGAGGGATAAGCCCGAACCCCCAAGATTATTCTTCACCAGAGAAGATTTGGAGAAGGTCGTCCTAGGCTATAATGACGATCTTGTGATTACCGGGGTTTTGGTCAACTGTCGAGTTAAAAGGATGTTTGTAGACCCTAGGAGTTCAGCCGAAATTATTTTCTAGAGTGCTTTCTTGAAGATGAATCTGAATGAGCAAGATTTGAAACCGTGTGTGACGAGTTAGTAGTTTTTAATGGAGAACGTCGCCTCCAAAAGGCTACATTGACCTAAAGCTCATGCTGGGAACAAGGGATGCATTTTAGGCTGGACGAGTCCGTTTTATCGTAGTAGATGCAATCTCTTCCTACATGCTTGTCTCGACTAAGAACCAGGCTTTGAGAATAATGGGGGTCCAAGAATGAGGTTGTCATAATTAGAGGAGATCAGAAAGAGGCCAGAGAGTGTTACTACGAAACGCTCAAGGTAACTCAAGGCCACCCATCATCACCTCCCAGGATCCGGGAAGGAGAATAGACCCCAGCCAAACCAGACTTTGTATACCCATGTGGCAACCAAGTCAACATGAGGGAGGAGTTACAAACTCCCAGGCCGGAACCAAAAGGAGAGTTAGAGAACGTAATTATTGGAGAAAAAGACGAGCACTATACCAAAATCGGCAAAATTATGCAAGCCGAAGTAAGGGAATAAATTGTTTCTTTCCTGAAGGAGAACCAGGATGTGTTCGCTTGGAAAACATTTGAGATACTGGGAATTGATCCGACCTTTTGCTGCCATAAGTTTTCAATGTACCTCAGATCTAAACTAGTATCTCAGAAGCAGAGGAAGATAGGTCCTGACTGACATTAGACGTTAAACGACCATGTTGACGAGCTGTTGGAAACCAGGTTCATAAGAGATATACATTGCATCACGTGGCTTTCCAATGTTGTGATGGTGAAAAAGCCCAGTAGGAAGTAGAGAATCTGTGTTGACTACACCAAAGGTCAGCCCAAAGTCATGCCTCATTTACTCATTATATGAAATTTAAAAATTTATCTTACATATTCGATCTTCATCTATGATAATTTTTACGTTTTCATAATTTATTACATATTAAGTCCTATAATAAGCTTTTAAAAATTCAAAAAATTATAAAGCATCTTAACCTTACTTATTTCTTATTATCAAAATTAAACAAGCAACGAGACTTAACTATAATAACACGTGACAATGAATCACAAGAAATATGTAATTCAAATGTTTCTCATAGCAAGTAATCGAAATAGCCAGAGATGCCTTAGAAAAATTAAAACATTTCTTGATCACGGCTCATAAAAATTAGTAAATTAACTTCTATGTGAATATCTTTTGGTTCTGTAAATTATGTTTGTATAGAAATTAAGGAAGGTTAGCAATATATTTGTTAATGATTTTTTTGACATTATTTCTATTATGAAATAAAATCTCAAAAATATTCGGCTAAATAATCTAAATTCACTCTTTATTAGTAAGAGTTATATGAGATTTCATTTAAAAGAGGATTAATACATGAGTTTGGTGTTTCTCATGTTGTAAAAGATACTACACAGACATAAATATGTGGGCCCCATCAGTGGCAGAGTTATAAGAAAAATCCAGCCAATGCCCAAATACTTAACTAAGTAGAATTTAATCAGTGTCAAAGTTGTATTAATTTAAAAATTCAACCAATACTAAAGTTGTACAATTTATTTTAAAGAAAATTTGTACCATTTTTAAAATTTAGATACCAACTGACTAAATTATGTGTGTGAAAAGAAGAGAGAGAAATAAAAAAATATGGGTCTCACACAATTTTATGTATGTGCAATAAATAATTTTATTTTTTACAACATGAGAAACAATAAACCTTTAGACATCTAGTGATTGTCAATTTTTGGAGAGGCCTTTGACATTTATCATTTATAGAAGGGATAAGTTATTTTACCTATCATTTTTTCTGCCTATCTTTGCCTACCCCACTCTCCAACACCGTTAGATCAGTGTTGGAGAGTGGTAGGCAAAGGTAGGCAGAAAAAATAATAAGTAAAATAACTTATCCCTTTATATAAAGGAGAATATTACTCACAAATAATTCTCTCATGTACTCACAAATCAAAGGTGAGACCTACTCTATATTGTTTTTTTCTCTTCTCTCTCCTCTATTTTGTGAATGCACGAGAGAATTTTTCTCTGATATAACATGAGAGTAATATTCTCTTATATAAATCTATAAAAACAAAAATTAGTGATTAGTCCGTGGAACAAAAAGGCCCACACTTCATCACTTGTATATATCTCATAAAAAAAAAGGATTAATGACTAGTCTGAGAAACAGAAAAGCCCATGCTTTATTATTAGAAGTAGGATCGGCAAAATGAACTTGGCTTGGCTGGCCAACTTACCCTGTCTGCCAAACGGGGTGGTACTAGCTGAGTCTCAAAGTAAGGCGGAGCAGACTAATTCATTTGTTAGCAGATGAGACGGGACGAGATGTTCATTTTACCACCTTTTACTAGAAGTGGTTTTTTTTTTTGGAGGGGGGGCTCCGTCTTTTAGGCTAACCATTTTGAAACGTTAATACCAACTTGCGCGTAAACAAAAGAAAAGTAACAATCTACAAAAAATAAATAAAACAAGAAAACTTGATGCTATACCGACGAGAAAAAGAATGACCCCAAGGGACGTCAACCTTAGTATTATATAAAAATGGATGAATAATTGTTAATTGGCTGTATGATTCAGAATATTAGCTGTAAAAGGTTTTTTTTAACAAAGATTAAGAAAGTTATTAAAGACTTGTAATAACAAAATATTATTATTATTGACTAAATAATGAACAACATATATTTTTCAAGTTATTTACTCTATTTATAATCCATCAGAACCCTCCTAAATGCTGTCCACGGGTGAGCTATGGTTTCTCTGAACTCATTAGCTGCTTTCTTTCTCTCTTCCCTTTTTCTAATTTGGTTTCTATGTGTAGCTGAAGAAGCCAGCTTTTCTACTCCCAATGCCACCAAAATTGGCCAGGGCTACCGTTTGATATCTATAGAAAATACCCGTGATGGTGCCCTTGTGGGGCTCCTCCAAGTTAAGCAGAAGAACAATATTTATGGTCCTGACATTCTCCTTTTACGCTTATACGTCAAGTAAGTCTTACTTAGCATCATTGGTGCATTCACCTGATTATCTATCTATCTTTATAAAGCTGATATGAACCTTGTTCATTGTTCTTGATTTTGTAGACACGAGACTGAGAATCGTTTGAGGGTACACATAACCGATGCAAAGAAGCAAAGGTGGGAGGTTCCTTACAATCTTTTGCCAAGGGAGCAACCACCGGTTCTGAAGCAGAACATTGAGAGGTCGAGGAAAAACCCAATATCAGTAGTGTCAGAGTACTCTGGCTCTGAGCTTATATTCAGCTACACTTCAGACCCGTTTAGCTTTGCAGTGAAAAGGAAGTCCAATGGGGATACCCTTTTCGACTCTAGTTCTGATGAGTCAGACCCGTTTGGTCCATTGGTCTTCAAGGACCAGTACCTTGAGATTTCTACCAAATTGCCCAAAGATGCTTCCTTGTATGGTTTGGGAGAGAACACACAGTCACACGGGATTAAGCTGTATCCAAATGACCCTTACACTTTGTACACCACTGATATATCAGCTATTAATATCAATGCTGATTTATACGGGTCACACCCTCTATACATGGATCTCAGAAATGAAGGTGGTAAACCTTATGCACATGGTGTGCTGTTGCTGAATAGTAATGGAATGGATGCGCTTTATAAAGGAACCTCTCTGACATATAAGATTATTGGAGGTGTGATTGATTTTTACTTCTTTGCTGGGCCAACGCCTCTGAACGTTGTGGATCAGTACACTTCATTAATCGGCAGACCGGCTCCAATGCCTTACTGGGCTTTCGGTATGATTCACTTTTCACTCTCACTTGTTATTTAGTTAGAAAATTATCAATAAAATTTAAAATTTAAAATAGCGTAAGAAATATTTAAGTCTTACATAATTTCAGTTAAAATGACTTAACATGTAAAATTAAATTAAAATGACCGATTTTTTCCTTTTACTCTACTTACATAATTTACTTGAAAATATTAAATTATATATGCATATGAACATATGAAATGTATTTTAGTATATTGTCACAATAAAAAATTAAAATCAAGTAATATGATTATTAAAATTTTAATGTGAGTCTCTTTATTACTTTATACAAATCAGATGCATGTTTTAATTGATTTATTTGGTACCCAAAAATTAGTCAAACATTTTCTATTTAAAATATTTTGTTTCATACTTTTTTGAAAAGAAAAATAAGTTATATTTTTGGTAGGGGAAAAATAAGTTAATTTAAACATATACTAAATATTTATTTATTAAATAAAAATTCATAATCATAAATATTAAATTTAAACAACAATTGAATAGGGCGGATGAGATAACTAATGTTAGATATAATAATAATATTACTGGATTGGGAGAAAATAGCAAAATATTTTGTGCTCTAACTGCACTCAAGCATTACACTTACTTTTGAAGTGTTGTTCGTTTTTTTTTTTTTTCACTTTGCAAATTGTTCGAACATGCTGCACATTTTCTTTTTAGAAAGCTCTGCACATTTAAACAGAGCATTAGAAAGTTCTAGTCATAGACGATCCGAGGATCATGTACACAAATTTCTAATGCTTCCACTTCATTCTTCAATTAAGTGATAAGAATGGTTAGCATTTGATTCTAGTGCTTCGCTTCTCCAGTCTTCAAGATTTAGTTTAAAATGTTACTTGAAATGTTTTGCTCACAAAATATAATGCTTATCTTCTAAACTACCTTCTGATTGAAGATAATTTGATAGTAAAAAATATTTGACCAACATGCTCACTTATTTTACTTGGTATATATTATTAGGATTCCACCAATGCAGATGGGGCTATCACAACCTATCTGTTGTAGAAGATGTTGTCGAGAAATACAAGAAGGCTAAAATTCCTCTTGATGTGATATGGAATGATGATGATCATATGGATGGTCATAAGGACTTTTCACTCAATCCAATTAACTACCCTCGTGAGAAGCTTTTAAACTTCCTGGACAGAATACACAGCATTGGCATGAAATATGTTGTCATCATTGATCCTGGAATTGCTGTTAACTCCAGTTATGGTGTATATCAAAGGGGTATGGATAATGATGTTTTTATCAAGTATGAAGGCGAACCCTTCTTGGCTCAAGATTGGCCGGGAGCAGTTTATTTTCCTGATTTTCTCAATCCAAAAACAGTTTCTTGGTGGGGTGATGAGATTCGTCGATTCCATGAACTTGTACCTGTTGATGGCCTATGGATTGACATGAATGAAGTTTCGAATTTCTGCACTGGGAAATGCAAAATTCCAGAGGGAAGGTTGTGCCCAATTCCGAGTGGAAATGTACCTAATTCAACATGTTGCTTAGATTGCAAAAACATCACAAGCACACGGTGGGACGATCCTCCCTACAAAATCAATGCTTCAGGTGTTCAGGCTCCTATAGGCTTCAAAACTATAGCCACTAGTGCAACTAACTATAATGGTGTTTTGGAGTATGATGCTCACAGCATTTTTGGTTTCTCTCAAGCCATTGCAACGCAAAATGCCCTTCAAGGACTTCAGGGAAAACGGCCTTTTGTTTTGTCTCGTTCCACTTTTGTGGGTTCAGGCAAATATGTTGCACATTGGACTGGTGACAATAAGGGCACTTGGGAGGACTTGAGGCACTCAATATCTACAGTGCTCAATTTTGGAATATTTGGCATGCCAATGGTTGGTTCAGATATATGTGGTTTCTACCCAGCACCAACTGAAGAGCTTTGCAATCGGTGGATTGAAGTTGGTGCTTTCTACCCTTTCTCAAGGGATCATTCAAGCTACATCTCCCCCAGACAAGAACTTTACCAATGGGAGTCAGTTGCTGAGTCTGCTCGAAACACTTTGGGTATGAGGTATAAGCTCCTCCCATATCTGTACACACTGAACTATGAGGCTCATATTATTGGAGCCCCAATTGCAAGGCCTCTTTTCTTCTCATTCCCATCTTACACTGAATGTTATGGCATCAACACTCAGTTCTTACTTGGGAGCAGCCTAATGATTTCTCCTGTGCTTGAGCAAGGAAAAACACAAGTTAAAGCACTCTTTCCTCCTGGAAGCTGGTACAGTTTGTTTGATTTAACAAATACCATTGTATCAAAAGATGGAGACTATGTTACCCTTGATGCACCTCTGCATGTGGTCAATGTGCATTTGTATCAGAATACCATTATTCCAATGCAACGGGGTGGACTGATATCAAAGGATGCTAGGATGACACCGTTCAGCCTCATTGTTACATTCTCAGCAGGTGCAACTGAAGGAGAAGCTAAAGGGAACCTATTCCTTGATGATGATGAGATGCCAGAAATGAAGCTTGGAAATGGCTATTCAACCTACATTGATTTCCATGCAACTGTCAGAGAAGGAACAGTGAAAGTGTGGTCAGAAGTCCAAGAGGGCAAGTTTGCTTTGGATAAAGGTTGGGTAATTGACACGATAAATGTGTTGGGATTAACAGGAAGTGGAGCACAACCAATAATAAAGGGTGTGTCAAATGTGAACGTTAGTACATCTGAACATAAGTACTTGTACGGTCAGGGAGATGGAGAAAAGAAGATAGTGATGGTAGGGTTGAAGGGCTTGAATATCCCTCTAGGTAAAAATTTTGCTATGACATGGAAGATGGGATCATAAGTTGATGTTGTCTCATCTTAATTTAGTGCACGGGTCAAAGTTTAACGTAATCTGCCTTCTTTCATGCTGACATTTGCGTTTAATTCTAATAATACGAGTCCTTGAATCCGTGTGTCACTTTGTTATGGTACTTCCTTTGCAACTTCGAACTTCCGGGCTCAATTAACTTGGCAATTAGATGGGACATTTTTTATTTTTACTATTATTACTTGCACAATATTATTTTTCCTCTCGCAAAATATTTCCTTTACTTTCTTTGTTCAAAATTTTCATTTTCTTTTCTTTTCTCGGTCCAAGAAAAGAACAGGGTCTGCAAGATATGGATGAGGGGTGGAGACTGAAAAACCTTATCAGCTGCAAAGTCTTAATAATATTTCCAAATCTTAAGTACTAAATATCAAGGGGAAATATACTCTTATATTGTAGGAGAGAATACAATTCGTTTATTTTGTGTGTTGACACGACATGCACAAATAATTCGCAATCTCAAAGTATGTCACTCATTATGTAGGTTTCTATAATACAATAAGACACAATAAATAATATGTACACTAAATGTTGCTATCACCAATGTCATGTCAATGCGACACCAATAACTTATAAAAAAATTAATGAGGATCATTTTTATGTTTATGGGTTGACACGTAACATGATACATATTTTTTTGTGTTAATTTTTTACCAACACGAACAAATACAAATTTAAAAATCATTCCATCAGAACATAAATTTTACTTATTATGTTTGTGTCATGTTACTAGGTCTTGTTAAAAATTGTCAACCCTGAATATATAGATGGAATCACTTAGAGAGAATGATTCATATGGCTATAAATGGGTTCTTCTGTCTTTTTAAGAATAAATTTTCTTATGTCTCTTTCTTAACATCGAGAGATTAATAGTTATAATTTTAATGATAAAACTAATAATAATATGAACAACAATAAAAATTAATCATTTTAATTACTAATTATTAATCTATAAATGAATAATGGAAGTTGTTCACATGACACGTTCATGCTATATACAAGAGATATACATTGATCATTCGATCGCTTTACAAAAATACGTCAATGAATCCAAGTGTAGTGGCTCCAGTTGGTAGCATAGGGACTGAGTGGTGGGAAAGGACCTCGGTTCGAATTCCACCAACACCATCTGGGGAGGGGCATAAGTACCGTAATCCTTGGACTCGCACCCGAACTCTGGATTAGTCCCATAGGCGGCTCAAAGAGTCGAACCCGTAGAGATACCGAAGGATTCTGATTCGCCTCAAAGAAGTAATTAGGATTAGTTTCTAAAAAAACACGTGAATGAACGTCTATCAGTAACGGTTCGTAACTGAATGTACTGCTCAATTAATAGTACAAATTGTGAATAAATTAATTTATGATATAATATTAAAACTTCTAATTTAATCCCTGTTGTTTATATCCTTTTAAATTAAAATTAATTTTTTGTTCATGATAAAAATGAACATTTCGAATTTTAAAAACTATTTCGTACTTCACCCAAAAAAATAAATTATAAGAGCATAAGATGAGAGAGCAGTACACCCCTCATCCTATGCTCTTCGTTTCATCATCATGTAGTTGGTTGTGGGATGCTTTTCAACACAATCTGTCAGTTCACATCCAAGCTCGCATCAACAATATCCTCCTTCCTTCTGATATTGACAGACAGTACCAAATTATGTGGACGAAGACGTTGGATGGGAGCTTCGCACTGAAGTCTGCGTACGAGGCAATATCTAGGAACGAGAATGACTCTACCAATATGCCATGGAAACAAGTTTGGGGGTGGCAGGGTCTAGAACAAATACGTACGTTCTTGTGGCTGATGATAGGGGACAACAAGTTTTTGACTAATGAAAGAAGGTGCAAACGTCACATGACTGGTTCTGATATTTGTCATCTATGCAACCGATATACTGAAAGCACCCTACAAGCAATCAGGGATTGCGTTGATGCGAAGCAGGTATGGGAATACGTAGTTAAGCAAGAGGCAAGAGAGGAGTTTTTTTCTCTCAACCTTCAACAATGGGTGTTGTCCAACATCTCACATGTTCATACTTGGTCTAATCTGTCTCCTTGACCTCTTCTGTTTGGGACCATTTCTTGGTTCATTTGGCGATCTAGGAATGAGAAGATATTCCAAGGGTCTTCAAAAATTGCATACAGCACTCTGAGAGCTGCTATGGTATATGGCAATGGGTTTACTTCGTTAGAAAACACATTTCAAGTTGCTGGGCTTGTGACTCATTTGCGAAAAGAGAGGTTAGTTTCCTAGGTTTTACCCTCAGAATCTTGGGTCAAGCATAAATAATGGCGAATCTTCTACCTGTGGGGGAGTAATTCGAAATGCAAGTGGAAGATGGCTCGTGGGGTTTCGTAAAAACCTTGGCTGTGGCAACGTGTTAATGGCAGAACTGTGGAGATGCCTCCTTGGGCTTGAAATTGCTTGGAGAAATGGCTTTCGTTTTATATGACTTGAAAGTGATTCACTAATAGCACAACATCTTTTGAAAGAGGGTTGCAATCCTCATCATCCAGCCTCAAATTTGGTCTTGTGCATCAAGAATATGTTGTCTTGGGATTGGATGCTTAGAATTCCCCACATTCATAGGAAAGGAAATGGAGTTGCAGTTTGGATAGCCTCATTCGCTTATTCTTTCGACTGATCCTTACAAGAGTTTGTCTCACCTCCACCAGCTTGGTTTAGGATATGTACCTAGTCTTTCTTGGTGTTTTTTCTTTCCTGGTTGTTCTTCAAAAATTAAAATATAAAGAGATTATAACGTAAAGAAAGTGTTAAAGGATATAATAAAAGAGTTTGCATTCATCATTTAACATGATCACAAAAAATTTTCTACATGTTTTGAAAAAAAAAAAAAACTACGGCACGCAAAACGAATCTCTATAACATAACAGAATCATTTTTTTTACAACGTAACTCTTATAAAATCCTATAATAAATCATTCATGAATTTAAAGTTTTGTTCATGATAACCACCATGAAACCAATATGTGTTTTGCCGACGCCAGCTGTTTGGATTTTTAGAGGAATGTAGATCCCGATATTTTCCTCATTTTTATGAACCGGAACACGGAAAGTTTCTTCAGTATACGAAGCGAGCTTAATTAGCCACTACCAAGATTAGTTGTCACTTTTCCGCAGTAAAAGAGGGGCAAAATAGAGAGAGAAATATTTATTTTAGTATAAATAAATAAAGGGTTTATTGAGTATAACTTATGTTCTTTTAGTAATTTTAATCATGAGTGGCCGGAAATGTATAGTTATAAGATTAAAGTTATATTTTTTTTCTTTAAAAGTTTCTGGGAAGAAAATAAAAAAAATACAATTTTAATATTAAACTATTCATTCCAATGAATATATAGTTAAAAACTGTTAAAGGAACATAAGTTTGTGGCTTTTAAAAAGACACTCTTTTTGTTATCAAAAAAAAAAAAAGACACTCTTTTCTCCATTAAATAAAAGAGAGGTATTCAGTGAAAATATAAAATATTAAGATTTTAATCAATGATTTTAACTAAATGCCACAAAAGCCGTGATTTCACTTCCATTAAATTGCTTGCATTTTACTTAATCCTCTCATTCTCACATCTAGTCTTAAATTTCTTTAATAATTAACACAACTATGATATATGTCTCAAAGACAAAGGTCCTACTCCCTGTTATCAAAAAAAAAAAAAAAGGTCCTACTCCTCCGTATATACAGGTCAAATCAAGGTTGAAGCTAGCGTCGAATAATCAAATGATGATTTTATGTTCACATGCTCACCGTGCAATTATTGATTTGAGGTGTTAAGCTTGATTCTCGTTGTTACTTGTTTCTTTGCGTGGATTATACGTTCAAGATGAATTGATGGATGCTCATTGCTCAGATTAAAAAATAAATGAATAAAATGAATACAACTTGCTTGTCATATTTGCTTAGATAAAACGATAAAATGAATGCAACAAAACAACCCCCACTCCCCTTTTGTAATATTTGGTTGCACTAAAAGGTGACCATGAATCAAACTTAATAAAGAATCCCAATGTCCCTCAGAGCAAGCAATCAGAATAGATAAAGATCCTTTACGAGAATGAAAATTTTAAACTGTTAGCTCGCTAAAAATTAGCTTCTCCTCATTGGGCTTTTGCTCGTCCAAAGCGTTTTCAGTGGAAATTATGTTGGTAGCTTTGTCTTAAAGAGAGGGAGAGGAGGGTGGGACAGAGCTAATAATTTTCAACACGATATAAAAAAATTGAATTTTGGTCGATTTGTTTTTAAATTCGTGATGTGTTCTGTGTCAACTCATGAACTTGAAATTGACCTACATTAATTTTTTACATGTTATTTATATTGGAGTTATTCGTATTTTATCATATCATATCGATTCATATAATAAGTAACACAATTTGGGGTTGATAAATTATTTATGTTGTGTCAACCGCGTTATCCCACATAATAAATAATACACTTTGAATTTACATGTTATTTGAATCGTGTTGTATCAACTCGCAAAATAAACGGATTGTATTCATATTTAAGGTTTTAACTCGATTTCAATTTCGTGTTGTGTTTTTGTAATATCATGTCCATCACTGTGTATGTTGTAAACAAGTTGTAGCATTCATTATGCAATTGCCGTGATTATAAACTTTTTTTAAAAAATAAGAATTTAATACTCATTGTTCAATTGATTAATAATTAAATTTAAAAGAAACAATCAAGTTTTTGGATTGCTTACACAAGTTGGTATTAGTACGTTTCAAAACGGTTATCCTAAAAAATGGAGTTTCCCCAGCACCAAGGAATGATTCCAAGAGACGTCAATGTTATAATAAAAATCGACGATAAATGACAATTTCGAAAATTCAGATTCAGCATCTCAATATCAAATACAATAGTAAAAATTGACCATTGTCAAACAAAGACAACAGTAAAACAATGAGAATTTTGTAATTGCCATAGAGTACAAAGTTCACTTCACGG